AACAACAATGGAGAAGGTCATGAAAAGAATATACTATGCGCCAGAAAGCGCTGGAGGATATGGAGGTATACAAAGACTAAAACAGGCAGTGTTTGAAAGTACCGGGACTCGTTTAGCAGATTCTGAGATAGAAAAATGGCTCTTAAAACAGGATGTTTACACCCTTCACAAAATGGCCCCAATACATTTTAGAGAAATCGGGTGCTAGTAAATAAAATAGATCAACAATTTCAGACAGATCTTGTAGACATGACTGCTTATTCTTCAGAAAACAACGGGGTACGTTTTTTATTAACATGTATAGATGTGTTTTCAAAGTAAGCTTGGGTTCGATGTTTAAAAAATAAAAGTGGAAAACATGTCACAGCAGCTTTTAAAGACATTTTAGATGAAGGCAGAATACCCAATAAATTACAGACAGACAAAGGAAAAGAGTTCTTGAACAAAGAGTTTAAAGGCGTAACTAAAGCTAATAATATTATCCATTTCACCACGTCAAATGAGACAAAGGCTAGTGTTATTGAACGTTTCAACAGGACTCTTAAAACCAAAATGTGGAGATATTTATCAGCCAATAATTCTAAAAATTATGTGGAAGTCTTGCAAGATTTAGTAAGGGCCTACAACTCGAGTTATCACCGAAGCATTAGAATGAAACCGGATGAAGTAACAAACGATAATGAACACATAGTTTTTAATAATCTATATAAAGCAAGAAGCAGTGATCCGCTTCAATGGAAATTTATAGTTGGTGATACGGTGAGAATTTCAAAATTAAGACAGCCTTTTAAAAAAGGTTATGAGCAAAACTATACTGATGAATATTTTACTGTAACAGAATGCATACCAAGAAGACCCCTGTTTACAGGTTAAAAGATTACGATGGAGAAACATTACAAGGAACATTTTATGGATCAGAGTTGCAAAAAATTATAGTGGGTAAAGACACGACTTTTAAAATAGAAAGGGTCTTATCTAAAAAGAAACGCCAGGGGCAAAACATGGTGTTAGTCAAATGGGTGGGATGGCCAGACAAATTTAATTCCTGGATTCCGGAAAAACATGTCATTCAACTGTCGTAAGGGGATCTCGCACATCAAAGGCGAGGGGGGGAGGACGGAGGTCTGACATGGATGGACATGAAGGGCTTTTTTATAACATTGCCTAGCAATTCCTCCTCAAAATTTTACCCTAACAACACAATAG